CCTCAGCGTGGCCGGAGAAGCGGTGCGTCGGTGCGCACCTGGGATCCGAACCCGGGCTGCCAATAGCGGAGCGCGAGCACTTAACCACTAAGCCACCGGACCGGCCCTGTTTGTTTCTTATGTATTCATTTTGTCATCTGCTAGCACGCATGAGCAGGTGAACACTAAAAGCTTAAGAAAATCTTATGAGGCAAAGAAGCCTTAAATTGAGAATTCTATTCTTACAATCTTTTCCTGACAACTGGGGGGGAAGCTGACCATTATTCAAGGAGATAAATGAGGGAACCCCTCAGCCAGGTGAGGATGGGCTCTTTGGGAACACGGTAAATTCCCTGCAGCCTAGGATGGGCAGGGTCCAGGGGTAGAGGGGACCTGGTGACTGTTTCCTGTCCACAGCCCTCCTGTCTCCACAGCATGCAGCTGGCTGTACAGGGCACTGATGGAAGCCCTTGGGATAAATGTCAATCCTGACGAGAAAGGGGAGGACCAGTCCCTCGGGAGGCACCAGGTTTGTCTGCTTGGGGGTCCTGTTGGTTAATTTAATAAAAAATTCTGCCAGGAAAGAGTGGCAGACTTTTCTCTGGAGTTTCACATTCTGAAGTATTCTTGAGGGCAGAATGTGGGTATGGAGCTTCCAAAGAGACCCAGAACAGGCTCATTCCCCACCTCGCATCCCTTTTCACCACGGGTGCTCCACAAAGCTGTCTTGCCAATCAGCATCTCATGCAGATGGCTGGTCATTCCTGGCCAAACTCGTAGCTCTCTCTATAAAGAAGGGCCCGTGGTGCTTCAAATGTAGGTATATAAGGCTTTTCAGCCAGGCTAGCACGTCAGCTTTGCTGTTTGTTGGCTTTCTGTGACTACGCATGGTGAAGGCAGGTCTGATATTTATCATTTTGGGCCAGAACAAATACACTGAGAGCTTCAAAATCAGGTATAAAGTTTCAGAGAGATCTAAGTTAGACTGTGTTGATAACTATACAAACATTTACCATTTCCTTATTGGGGTCATAAAAGGCATCCTCAAACATTTGACAATGTCGTCCTGAAATATTTTTAGCTTTTTTTTTTTTTTTGCAGCCAGTGCCAAAAGAGAGACTCTAAAATAGTTACTATGTGTCTATGTCCAATTCTACAACATTTCTTTTTTCTGGAAATACTCAAATGAATTCTGATTAGAATCATTCCCCAAAAGACCTTTATCCTGGTTCTAGATTATCAGAGCAGAATAAAAAGTAAAGTGAAAGGTCCTTCAGCTGAGAAACCACAGGTATCAGCTGGGTGAATATTCAGTAAGAGAATGAATCATTCTCTGCTGATCTTGCATCTCCTAATTGTTGGGGTAGGAGAACACCTGCGAGTATGTTGCTCTAGTAAAACACCACGCGGCCATTCCCATTCGTTTATTGTCTGTGGATGCTTTCACGCTACAACGACAGAGTCGAGTAGTTGCGACAGGGACGGCATTGCCTAAAATATTCACTGTCTGGCCCTTTGCAGTAAAAGCCTGCCAATCCATCTGCTAGTTCATCCCGTTCACTTCACAGGTGAGCAATCTAAGGCCTGATGGAAAAGCAAAGTGACTTTGTAGCACTTTGTATAGTGTCCCCTTTATTACAGTTACTCTTGTCTACGCCTGTCTCTTCTACTGGAAGGGACACTATCTTTTTATTTCCCACACTGCTTTTCATGTAAGTGCTTAATAGTAAAGGTTGTTGAATTGCATTGACTTGCTCAGGGTAAAAGGGATATTTAGCAGTGGAGCCTGGGTTAAAACCCAGAAATACAGATTCATGAACCACTGGAAAGGATCGCCAACTAGCTGTGTAACTAGCTCAGTTAATTATCCTCCCTGAGCCTCAGGTTTTCTCATCTGCAAAATGGGGATAACAATCTACCCTTGTAGGGTTTTTATGAGAAATTATTGAGATAATGTATGTATGGAATAGGCCCTCCATAAGTATGGATTCCCTCCCCCACTCCTTTCTCTCTCTAAACTGGAGTCCCTGAACTGTTAGGGTTCCGTGAGGAAACTGAACCAAATACTCATGGACTTTCTGCTAGGGATGAGGCCCTGGGCTCAGCCCTGTGGGAAATACAAAGGTTGTTTCCCCATTTAGTGGCAACGATGAGCCTGATATTGTGGACACCCTCTCCACATCTCACCCCAGGCTAGCAACAGAGGAAGGGGGAGGCCCAGGTGTCTCCTGTTCCTATTTCTCTCCAAAAAGGAGCTGGCTCACGCTGGCCTCCCCTTCTCTTCCAGTTGTTTAGACCTTTCGAGCAGCTATAGATCTGACTTCGCCTCCCCAGACTTCCTCCTTGGCTCCCTACCGCTCTGGCTGGCCTTGCCCCACTTCTCTCTGAAGCCCTCATCTTTGAGGCGGGGCTGACTGAATAAGCCCAGTTTCCCTGGCCCCCTGCCTTCCCGAGGTGATGCTCGAAGAAGGGACCCATTAGTCAGAGAGAGGTGTGAACCACTAAGTTAGTAAGAGTGAATGAGAGAGCAAGCCATGTTCTTTTTCATAGGTAAAGTAAAATAATTTACAGGGGTGAGTACACACTCTTGCATAAAGCACAAAAACGAATACCAACACAGTTTACTAGATCAAAGATTGGATTTTCAGAGAATTGCTTCATAAATTCAAAACAGAATGGCTTGCCCTCATCTGTCAGTGAAGTGCAGGATAATTTATCTCCCTCTAACCAGGTCACAGGCCGCGGCCAGCCAAACACAAACATAAAGATATAAAGAACATAAAGATATAAAGAAAGGCAGTTCCCTCTCTCTCTGGCTATAAGAAACCTGGGGTGAGACTCCAAATCCAGATGTTTTTAAAAACAATTTCAAAATAGCTATAGTTCTTGAGTTACCTGGACTAATTTTTAGAAGGCAGTTGTTAGTGCTGGAAAGGTCTAACTATAGTTAGAACTTATATATAGTTGTATATATGGAACTATATAGTTATAGTTCTAACTATACGTTTTTAATTTTAAATAAATATAGATTTACTTTCAAGTATAGCCAGTAATTCAATCTGTTTTTTCTTTTTTAAATAATGCTGTTAATTAAAATTCATATGGGATCTGTTTCAACAAACAGGTAAGACCAGAGTGGTAATCAGCACTGCTCTCACTGGTTGGCAAAGGGCTGCTACTAAAGCCCTTGAAGAGTCTGTTAAGTAGGTTATAAATTCTCTTTTGAAATCATGATTATGCTTCACTTGCTTGGAAAGCTTTGCTTTGATGGTCTAGCTCTGGCAAAATGGAAAATTCAGAATTTGTATAGTTTAAATAAAAACAGAATTACTACAAAGAACTGGGAGGCAAATCAGAGGCATTTTGAAAACTGCTGGCCTGATGTATACCAAGGCACTAGATGCTTTTCTCAGAGGAGACTACCAGGCTTCCTGGACACCCCCAGCAAGGCCTCCCCTGAGAACTTCATTATGAGGGAGGCCCCTGGTGCCTCATATTAAATGTGTAATGCTCTGAGCATCCCTTTCTTTTTTAAGCCTCTGGCTTCATAGAGTAGTAGTCTGGCAGGAAATAGTGGTGAATGGGGAGTTAGGATACTGCATTCCCATTCCAGTTCTGATATCTGCTGGCTGTATGACCTTGAGCAGGACATTTCTCCTTTTGGGGCCATGTGCAAATAAGGCAATTGGAATTCAGTTGATCAGATCAGACAAATAATCACTGTGCAGGGCCTGCCAGAACTGAACTCACTTGGACAATGAATATTAGAGCTAGACAGGATCTTTCGGTGATTAGTTGGACTCTGTCATTTCCCCCAGAGAAGGGAAGGGACCCATACCAGGTCACACAGTTAGAGGCAGAATTGGATTAGAACCCAAGTTTCCTGACTCTCAGTTCCGTGCTCTAGCCAGAACACCGCATTATCTCAAAAATCCTAAAGGAAGTACATTTCACCTCCCTTGCATCACATATCTCCCAGACATGTTGCTGAGTTTGGTCTCCATCCTGCTCACTCATCATAACTGCTCTGGATTAAATAGCTAAGTCCTCCTGCTCTTTGCACGCAAAATTTTGCTTCCACCAATGGCTTCTCTGAGATCTGAAACAGGCAGGCTGTGAACTAACATTCACCCAAACTGACCCTTTAGGAGCATGGAAGAAGTGTTCTGTGTTCCCTAGGGTACTCTCACTTTGGAGTCTCAAGGAACAAAAAACTTGGAGAAGAATTTTCAGAGATCACTTCCCCAAGTGAATCTCATCTTCCAGGTTATTGAATCATGCAATGAATTTAGCAGGAAAGTCTCTCATCGGGGCAGAGAAATTCTTGGAAAGGAACTTTTGGGCCAGGAGAAAGCCTCATGGTTGGAGCACCTGGTATCTGGTCTCCACTTGGCACACAGAGAGGGCTCCGACCCAAGGCTGGCTTGTCAGTGGGTGAATGGAGCTCCCACCTTCTCCAACATTTTGAAAACAAAACAAAAACAGAAAACCTCCCCCTTCCCGAACCCCATCCAAGCCACCAGCCCCTCCAAGTCTGGAATGTGAACAAACTGAAATGAAATGAAAGTGAGGGTGCTAGATAAACCCTAAACACCATGCACATGGAAGAAATTATAATTTTTCCCTGCCTGATATCTCCTTGGACATTCTCCAAATCCCAGCTCAACTGTCATTTCCAAAGACCCAGTCAGACCAACCTGGGTTCAAATCCTGGCTCCACCGTCCATTTGCTGTGTGACTTTGAACAAGTTAACTTCATTAGGCCTCAGTTTCTTTCCCTGTCAATGAGGGATCATAATAATAACTGTTTTAGAGGGTGATTGGGGGTGAGCCAACGTCACTCTTGCAAAGGTCCCAGCATAGTGCCTGGCAGGGAATAGGATTCTGTAAATGTTGAATGAGTAGCAAGGGAATGAGAGCACCCATCTCTTGAGTTCTGACCCAGCACTTTCCACTCTTCAGTCCCTGGCTTCCCCCTACCCTTTTGCCCTGAAGAGAAGCCTGAGCCAGCCTGTTCTTACCTTGCTGAGGTCCCCTAGGGCCATGACCTTGGCCACTGGCCTCCTGCTGAGCTGCTCCTTCACCCAGACCTCAAGCTGCTTGTTCCACTTCATGGCAAACACATAGAGGGCATAGGCCAGCAGCAGCAGCAGGCTCTCCCACCAAGCAATGAGGCTATCCAAGAAGAAGAGGATGAGCATTATCAGGTCAAGGATGTAGAAGGAGACGTCACGGAACAAGGGCCACCAGGTGAGGTTGAGGATCTCCCGGGAGAAGAGGGCACAGGTGCCAATGACAAACAGGATGTTGAACACAGCAGAGCCCACGATGGTGCCGATGCCCACATTGCTGTGGGAGATGAAGACACCGATGAGGGAGGTGAAGAGCTCGGGGGCAGAGCCTCCAGCAGCCATGAACGTGGCACCTGCCACGTCCTCAGAGATCTGCAGCTTGTCTGTGATGATGCCCAAGGCTGGGACGAAGTATTCGTCACACACGATGGCCAAAGCCACAAAAACATACATCATGCCAAAGATGTGCAGGACCACCCAGCCCTGCCGCCGCTCCTCCACACTGAATAGGTCTGGGGGGTACTCTCCCTTGGGGGGAAGGTCTGGCCAGCCAGGAGGCAGCGCTGAGGGACTGGGACTGGGCACCTCTGGGATCACAGCCGTTGTCAGGCTGGGGGAAGGGGCAGTGGGCACCGCTGGGGCTGGCTCTACAACCACATAGTGACGGACCTGGGTGGTTGGATTTGCCCTGACCCTGGGGGTTGCTGAGGTGCTGGATGCTGTGGAAGGTTTCTTCGCCAGCCCCCAGAAGGTGGATGAGGATATTCCAGTGGTTGGTGCCCTGGTTCTGGACGAGGGATTCCTAACACTCCAGGCAGTAGTAGAGGCTTTCATGTCTGCTGGGCTGCTGCCTGTCATGGTGCTTATCGTCACTTGCCCCTCAGAGATGGCTGCAATGTGCTCCAGGACCGTGCCCTGGGGAGTCACCAGGTTGTTCTTTCCCAGTAACCCCCGGGGCCTGGTTGAGCTGTTATTGTCCACTCTTCTGGGGGTAGTCACAGTGTTCTTTTCCACCATACTCCTTGGAGAAGTCAAGATGTTTGTTTCTACGTCATTTATCAGGAAAGTTGGAGTGTTATCAATTATTTCCTTGAGAGTAGTTGGAGTGGTTTCCCCCACTATTCTCTTAGAGGGGTTTGTCTCCAATATTTTATTGGTTGCCATAGTTTCACTGTCTTTCACTGTTGTTCTGGAGGTGATCCCAGAGCTCCTTGTCATTGTCATGAGTGTGGATGGAGGATAATTGCCTAGTATTCTACCAAGTGGGAATGGGGTATATTTCTTCACCTTTCCCCTGGCTTGAGTTGGGCGGTAGCTTTCCATTTCTCCCCTGGGTGTTGTTGAGGTGTAATTCTTTACTGTTGGTCTGCTTGAAGTTGGGGTGTAGTGATTCAATACTCCACTAGGTGTGGTTGTGGTGTTTTCCTTCACTCTTTCTGTACCTGCTGCTGTTGGGCTATAGTTCTTCTTGGGTATTGTTGGAGTAATGTTGGATATTCTTCTGGGAGTACTGGGGGTGTTCTCCATTGTTATGCCAGGTGTTGCTTCATCCCTGCCCACTGTGGCTTGGGGCACCAGTGTCTCACCCTCCATTTCAGAGCTAGTTCTTGGAGGGTCACCGCTCACCATCATCATCTCATCGTTGGGGAGATCCCGGCTGGTCAGTTTTATAGAGTATTGGGAAGAGACTGCTGCCCACAGTGAGGAGAGGCCTCGGGGGCTCCTCAGGTGCTGGTAGGTGAAACCGATGATCAACATTCCCAATAGGAAGAGGAGGCGACTCCAGTGAAGCCGCTTTGGCCGGAGTAACCGCCTTTCCTGTGCCCCCATCCTGATCAATTTCCCCATGATGGCCAATTATGCCTGGTTACAGAAGGCCTCTCATTCTGTCCATGGAAAGATGGAGGCTGTTCTGGGATTCAGGTTGGTGATCAGTGAAGATTTCTCCATGAAGTCCAGCCAGGGGGTATCCACAAACCTAGGGGAAAAAAAGAGGTTATTTGCCCCTATGAGGAGAGCTGGGATCCACCAAACTCTCATCTGGAAAAGAGTGACAATTCACGCAGAGCCTTTGTGGTGGGAGGTAGTTGTTTCTGCTGGATCAAAACAACCCCTGCCCCCTGCTCCAGGCGGCAATGCCCAATCTTGGGAAAAAGAGCATCCAGAGGTCCTCTGCCGTGTAGGCATGCCGGCAGCCCAGATTCCTGAGCTGGGTCTTGGGTGCTCCGTGGAGTCCACCCAGCCCTCCCTGGGATTCCTACCAGGCATCTGCCAGCACTTCTCAGGTCCAAACCGGAGTTGCTAGGAGCTCAGTTATCCAGAGTTGGTGCCCTGGGCCACAGATCTCACCTTATCAAAGGCAGGAGGGACGTAAGGAGACATGATTTTAAGCTTTAGACAAAAAGAGGCAGCAATGGAAGGCAGTGCTAGGCACATCAAGGCTCCACGTGTTTATTTTGGACTAACTTAAAATAATTCCACCATATCAACCAGAGAGGACAAAGCTTAAAAGTTAACGTCGTGGAGCTCCCCAGACAATGTGGTGTGGTGGAGGAAGATGGGGAATGGAGTCAAAGGCCTGGATTCCCAGCTGTGCTGCTTAACAGCTATGTTACCCTGAACAGGCTGAGCCTCACTGTCTCATCTGTGAAATGGGCATGATAACATATGTGTTGATTACGCAAAGATGATCACTGGAAAGACATCTGGAGAAGGGAAACTGAGGGTCAGGGTCAGAGGGAGACTTACTTTTCAGGATGTCCTAATGTTCAGTTTAACTTTAACCTTTTTATCAGGGCCAGCCCTGTGGCTTAGCGGTTAAGTGCGCGCGCTCCGCTGCTGGCGGCCGGGGTTTGGATCCCGGGCGCGCACTGACGCACCGCTTCTCCGGCCATGCTGAGGCTGCGTCCCACATACAGCAACTAGAAGGATGTGCAACTATGACATACAACTATCTACTGGGGCTTTGGGGGAAAAATAAATAAATAAATAAAATTATAACCTTTTTATCAGGTGCATGTTATGATATTTTAAATCTAAATTAAATTTAATTTATAGAAATATTCAATAGTAATAACAATACCAATCTATGTAAATAGTAATAACAATACCTGTGTCATGGGAATGCTGGAAAAGTAAAAACAGATAAGGTCTGTGAAAAGCATTGTACAGAATCAAGTGCTACATAACGGTTAATTTTACATAAGGACACAGGAAGGAAGGACATGAAAGGCCCTCAAAGAATCCTCAATTTATAAAAAAGGAGACTGAGGCCCAACCCAGGTAAATATTTATTAAATCTCTAATCAATGTCCACAGATTATTATAAAACAATAACTAGAAATGATCGGTTTTGTATATGAAGTAATATATTAGAAGTAAGCTCAATAACCCATAGAATCTTAGGTTGTTAAAGGTAGAAGGAATTACAAACACTGTTTAATGCAGCTCCCCATTTGAAACATGAAGAAACTGAGGTCCAGAGAGAAATGACTTGCTCAATGTCACAGCTAGTGAGTATCAGTGCAGATGAGGCCTCTAACGCCCTAGTCTTTCCAGTATACCACACTAATTAGAGATGCAAATGAAATTGTCTTAAAAAGCAAAAAAGGGACAAGCAAAAGGAGAAGTATGGAATAAATGAATTTGCTTCTTTGTCCTTGATTCCCATAATTGTCTTTCTACCATCTACCTGCAGCTGCCCTGTCCCTTGCCACAAACTCAACATTTTGAATCTCCTAAAGAAACTTCGGAGGGTCTCTCTCTTTCTGCAGTGCCTGTGTTATGTAAGAGCTGGCAGCCCAGCTGACCCCTCTTACCTAATCACATCATTTACCTTCAAACCTGGGCATCTGGGTGTCTTCTCAGCTCTGGAAACTTGTCAGAATCCAGGGTCTTGAACAGTGGGTCTGAAGCTGGACAGCAGAGAACACCCCATTCTCCTGCCCCCAGCTCCCCTATGGAATCCTAATTCAAGGCAGGGTCAGGTGTGAAGGGCATGTCAGGGGAAGAATATCCAATCCCTGGTAATACCCACCTCTAAGAAGCTTATTAGGGCATTGTACAAGTTCTGGGTCCCTGCCAGTGCCTCTGCCAGAGCCTGAGAGGGTACACCTTCCACCAGGGACACAGATGGGTTCTCTGTGCCCCCTGCAGTCAAGGGGGGAAACTGGGGGAACTTCTCAAACTTGTTTCTAAGCTCAGGGAATGGGAGGTGGTCCAGGGTTTCCACGCTTAGGGAGAGGGACGATTTAGAAAGATTCAGAAGGCGTTCCGTAGGAACCAAGAGAAAGTGCCTGGGGCTTAAAAGATCAGAGGACCTCAGTTAGCACCAGGCTCTGTTTGCTACTGTGTGATTCTAAATGTAATTTAAATGTAAATGTGGAGATAATAATGCCCGTCCTACCTATTGTAGGATGGATGTGAGAATCAAAATTAAAAATGAGGAATATCTGCTCAATTTTGCTGTGAACCTAAAACTGCTCTAAGAAATAAAGTCTACTTAAAAAAATGAAGGAATGTGGGGAAAATACAAACTTTAAAGCATTTCACACATGAGAAATATTTATTAGGTCTAAGGGAAATCCTTGAGGGAGAGGGCACTGACAGATCTCTCCAGCGCAGGCTGGGACATCCCAAGATCCTGGAGGAGTTGTGCCTCCAGCACACGACCGGAGCTGATGGAAGTGGGAGTGGAGCGAGGCAATGGGGGTCTCATGATCCCACCCACGGACCTGGAAACCATCGCAATCATTCAGGTAACACTGCCTGATACTTACTGATTGCTCCTTTCTTCCCTCCCTGTTGCCCCCAAGGTACAGGGATAGCATGCTGCTTTGATTACTTTCATCTGAAATAGCAGGGAATACCTCACAGCCTCACCCCTGCCCTACTCCACCCTGAGTGGCCTGTGACAGTAAGAAGGTACCCAGCTCCCTCTGCTGAAGCACACAGCGGTGCCCACCCCGAAGCACTATCTTCACCTCTGGCTGTCCTGGGGTCACTCTGGATGTTAGAAGCCTGGGTAGAGGGGCTCCCCTCTGCTAGTTGCCACATCCTTGCCTTTAGACTGCTGCAGGCAGAACCAGATCTAGTTACTTCCCTTCTCACACCAACTATCTAACACAGTCTCAATCTGTGGAAAGGATGGAAAGACGGAAAAAGGAACCCAATTCATGAGGTGGAATTATGAGTGATCTTTTTTTTTCTAGAATAATTCCTCTATGTTTACAATGTTATTTGTGCAATATAGAAAATTCAGGGGAGAAGCAAATCCCAGAAAAAGAGATTCCTTTCTCTCATATACTCATAACTGTTGCCAAGGAGTTCTTTCCAGGGTCTAACCTAAATCTCAACTTCTGGGGGTGAAACTCGTTCCTTCTGTCTTGTTCTCATGGGGTTGTGGCACATTTTGAAATTCAACAGGCCGCAGAAAACTTTCTGCTTAACCACGAGTGGAAGCATCGTCTGTACCAGCAGTGTGAGTTTGGGCAAGTTATTTAACTTCTCAGTGGCTGTAAACCTCTTGTCCTGTAAAATGAGGGTGATAATGACACTATCTGCTTGGTCGGCTTGTTGTGAGGATTAAGTAAATTAATATGTAAAACATTAACAATGCCTGGTGCTGTTATTGTTATTGTTATTATTATTATCCTGCTTTTGGAGATCATAGACTCTGTTGGGGGGCAGCAAGTCCCCATACATTCCATTGTGACAATGCTCTACTGTGTATTTATTAGTGTGATCACTTGATTAATGTGTACATCCCTTACTAGCAGATGAGCTTCCAGAGGACAGGTAACTTGCCTGTTTTATTCACACTGAATCCCCAGAGCCCAGTACAGTGTCTGGCACCCAATAAACATATTTGTTGATGGACTGAAAAAGTATGTCCCAGTGAGGAGATGCTTAGAGATGGGGCACCTGAGCTACACATGGGAGGTAAGGGAGTGGGGCGCCCACTCACAGAGTCTCATGGCCTCTCAGAGAGCAAACTGCCAGAGAAAGACCAGCACCACCGAGGGGAAGTTGATCTGCTTTGTTCTACAAGGTTGTCTCGTATTATACTCTCCCTGGAACAGGGTGGCAGGGCAGGTGAGGCAGATCTGGCTCGGACCCTCACAATAATATCAGGCGCTGAGGAAGGCAGGGCTTAGAGGCTGGGCAGGACAGCCGGGAGGCCTTTCCTTCCACTCCGCAGCTCAAGGCCTTTCCCACAGTTCTATTAGAACAGAAGGAAGAGAGAATGAGACTTTTCGCGAGACAGAGGGTTTGTGGCTGAGGCTGGTTTATTTCTGGGCCTACATCAGGAGTTGATATTGACCCTACGGTTGCACAGTGGAAAGCAGACAAGATTTGGCAGGAGTTGCGAAATCAAATGCCTTCAGGGCCTGTCTAGGTAAAATTAAGTTAAATCAGCTCTATTCAAAGTCGGTGGAGAGTAATGAGGGCTGTGTCTGGACTGAGAATGAATGACCCATCAATAGCCACTCCAATGTAAAACAATTTAAAAATATTAGAGGGCAAACAAAATGGGGCTGAATTCGACCTACAGGCACCTCTTTGCAACATCTAATAAAGTAACACACCTACCAGGAGCAAGACTCCTACCGTCTCATCCTCAGGTTCCTCATTTACAAAACCAGGAAAGAAGAGCTTCCTCATGGGGTTGCTGTAAGAAGCACAGTGAGAACCTGTGGAAAAGAATTAGTATCTGTCAGACACTGAACTGCCCAAGGTCACAGCCTAAGACCTTTTGTTGATATTATATTATTTATAGGATTAAAAAATGGCTATACAGTTGTCACTGGTGGGAATGAGCAAAATAAATCCCAGAACATTCCACGACACTTCATCTCTCCAAGCCAGTGGCTGGAGCCATATCTGAGGCAGGGAGCCGCAGAGGGTGAGGCTTCAGGA